GTTAGGGGGGAGATATAAAGTGTATTTAACAAGTGCAACATTTGTCTTCGCAGTACAGGAGATCCAACCTTACCCGACTCCTAAAGCCAGAACAATACAGAAAAAAAGTCTTGCTGAACATGAGCTTAAATAAAACCTAAACCAAATACAATGACTGAATCTTTTTAAATAATAGCAAGCCTGTTATATTGTTATACTGTCTTCATAATAGCCAAGACCGATTTATAAAGTTAAATAAACATAAATTAATTTTGACCTCTTTTCTATCTTAGTCTGGCCTCTTCGGGCATAAGGAAATTTTGTTCATCTTCATTATTTTTTTTTTCATTTCTTTCCTTTGGTATATCAAGTCAATTTTTTGGCTTTGTTGTACAAAGAGTCCACGACTTTTCCCATGGACTGAATTGTCTCTAGTGAGGTTTCGTATGTTTTGTCAGAAGTTGTCTCCTCAAAGACGATCAGGACTCCAGCACCCTGGTCAAGAATACCTGGAAATATAGATGAATAAATAAATAATCAAAAGAGAAATATAAAATTTATTTCTGCTTTGTTTAATAATGATGATAGAATAATGACGAAAGGGAGTCACTTGAAATATCATATGAATGGTACTGGGCAAAAGCCATGTTGGCAAGTGACATATGCGGATACTCAAATTACCAAATGTGAAAGTATTGGATTTGTATGACCATGGCAGAGCACTATTTAAACATATGACTTCATAATTGACAAAATAAAAACAAAGAAATAAATGATCAAATGTAAATTTGATCAAGACAGCAAATCATTAACTAGGCTCACTCAAAGGGAAAAAAAACTTTGAAAAAAAATGTTTACATTTTAGTCATCTATAGGTAAATAATAAGTTTTAGCCTGAGACTATTAGTTTAGCCTAAGACTAAGACATCTACTTGAGGAACACTTACCATGGAATTTCTTATCCAGGATCATTTGTGACAATTTCTTTTCAACTGTGTCCTGAAAGGAAAGTATTACAGCACATGAAATACTTTTGCCAACACATGACTGTACGTGTGCAAATTACATAGATATTCAAGGTGAAAAGCATAGTAATTAACTTTACAATCCATTATTATTTAATACATCACTCCCATACTGCTCTAAATATTACACGCTTGATAGCAATATTCTTAGCTTTACATCCCTACTGAAAATCTAGTTAAACAAAAAGAAACACAAGGGCCTCATTTAACAGAACCAACGGCTCATAATTCTATCGCGAGGCATCTGGCCCATAAATACAACAACCAAATATCCGTATACACCCAGAAGTTTTTCACCTCTAAAACGAACACAATCTTTTTCAATTTGAAAGTTTCCAGTAACACCAGTGCGTAACTCACCATGGGTAGCTTAATGAGATTGGCAATATGGGTGACCTGTACCCTGGAGAAGGGTTCTATGATCCTGCACAGGTTCTGGCCCAACATGTTGTCGTAGAGGGAGTCCAGGTGGGCACGAATGATGGGGTCGTCCACCAGCTCCGTCTTGTAAGATGATATGGTCTGAAGAGAAGACAGGTGCTTGCTTAGATTATCTATTCAGCAGATTTATAATAATAATAATATTAATAGTAATTTATTTACTTACAGGTATTTGGATTCTACAGTATAGTGTGGTATATAAAAACAGTTACATGTCTGGTCATTACGCACTGGGACAATCTCCCCTCCCTGGGAAGGCATACAAATGCTTATGTATACACATATAGAAAGCATAAATACCTATCACTGACTAATAATCAGCACACCTTAGGGATGAAGGGTTGTAATATCTGTCACAGCGGTGATAACTATTATAACAGTCCCACTCCAAATTGCTTTTTTCCTTCTTTTAGAATAAGGTTTAAACCAACTTCTCCACATTCAAGTTAACTATTAGGGAAAAAATTCAGTTTCCTTCAAATTCACTTAAAAAGCAGCTTTCAGTTAGGAACATAGAGACGTCCCTTAGTCTGAAACACTTAAAATGACCAACCTGCTGAAATTCTGCGAGGGACCTATTGTGACTGGCTTTGGCTATACTCTTCAAGGCTTCCACGTTACTGCCTGCGTACTTTAACCCGAGTTTACCACTGAGTATAGACTGCACCTCATCAGCACTGGAAAAAAAATAATACAATATTATCAATCAAAGTATCCACACATACTGCTATGTGAAGCCGACACTGGCCCTATGCTAAATACTAGTAAAATGGAACCTTGGCCAGTAAGATTATGTATAGTTGTATAATATGTTCTAATACCATGGTTCTGCTTTGGGCCAGGAGATTCTTAGACCCTTCTGGCTCAAATTATCAAAGGACTAAAATGGTTTTTTTAGCACAATGACAGTCTATATAGACGGATCAGATACAGGTCAGGAAGTCAGGAAAGCACTACAAAGAGTGGGCTGCATGCAAAAGGGTTATTTTCTCTATGAGTGAAACCTAAAAAAAATACATTAAGAGGAATCAAAACTTGGGCACTGTTATGGATGTGATGTGGAAAATAATACATATTTTAACTTGGTGAGACATTTTCATGATCTCAAATTATGGGCTTGGTAAATCACACAAATATCAAAAGTTTTTTTGTTTTTTTTTGCTTCTCAATTAATAAACAAAAAAATTAATTTAAAAAGTTAAATAAACTAGAGGATCAGAGAGGCGATACCGCCTCCGAATATTGTACCACCAGCTGGAGCAGGCGCATTTGTATAGACCCCCACATACACAAAATAAGGGACACAGCCACCAGTCTTATGCTTGACAAGCTATAAAAATGCAATNAAAGGACATACATTAAGAGGAATCAAAACTTGGGCACTGTTATGGATGTGATGTGGAAAATAATACATATTTTAACTTGGTGAGACATTTTCATGACCTAAAATTATGGGCTTGGTAAATCACACAAATATCGAAAGGAAAGTTTTTTCTTTTTTTTTTTTTTTTTGCTTCTCAATTAATAAACAAAAAAATTAATTAAAAAAGTTAAATAAATAAATAAACAACCCCAAACAGCCCACCTGTTCAGCATAATCTTGGCTAACAACATGTACTTCAGGGCAGTCACAGCTTTGGGACTGTCAATGGAATCGTATCCTTCAAATGCTTCATAGAAGTAGGAAAATGCAGTTTTAAAGTCCCTCTCATCAGCTGCATGCAGCACTCCTGAAATGAACAAAAACATTTTCTTCAGAAATTACAGTATCTCTTTATTGACAACTTGTTTTGTACTAATGATGCACTGATCAACAATTATCAATTCATAAATCATTTAAATCTTATTCTAAATAAATAACACTCAATTTCCAATCACATCCACTGTTAGCCACAATCATGATAAGCATTATTATCATGCATCACTTGTTATTTCCTCTGCCAAAGAGGTCATGTTTTCACCCCTGTTTGTTTGTTTGTTTGTTTGTTTGTCTGTCTGTCTGTCATCAACAAAACTCAAAAAGTTATGGACCGATTTTGATTAAATTTTCAGGAACTGTCAGAAGTGGTGACCTGGATCAATAATCAATAATCAAAAATATCGAAAATTTAGGGGTGAAACAGCATTGGGTGGAGACTTTGCTGCCTTGGGGGAGGTCTGTGCTCTCAGAGTGCTTTTCTAGTGTTTTTATGTCGTCATGTCGCTAAATATTTGTATCACTCACCAGACTGTAGATCTAGTGCTGCCTGTAGTTTAGGAGGGCAGTAGATCCCATTCCCTGTGGTTCTACCAGACGTTAGTGCCGCCCTGGGAACGAGGAAATGGAGAAAAACTATTAATATAAAGAAAATGTGGGGCAGCACCTGTCTTGAGCCAATCCAACAAAATTAAATACTCAGTTTTTCTTTGAAAAATATCACTGGTTGTAAGAAATGAAGTTAAGCCATCATATGCTGTCTACTGTTTATTTACAATGCTGTTGTGGCTGTTGTTGTTAAAAGATGTCTCTTGTCTTTCTGTTGTTTCATATTTTTGTATAATATAAAAAGAAAAGACAAAAATCAGACCAAAAATCTTAAGCTCAGTTAAATTACATATCTCTCTTAACAAACAAACTTTGTATTCTCGTCAAACAAACAACAAGACAGTCGAACAAAAACTTAAGCCATTAGAAGAAACATGTTCTTGGTGATAGCAAAGTGACACTAATTACCTTGCTTTGGGGAGATTACTAAGGGCATGGTAGACCTTGCTCTCCAACAGCTGGACCTCCACCAACAGGGCCTTGTCATCCATCTTCTTAAGCTCTTTAATTAAGGAACCCTCTGAAATCAAATACTGGTATGTCAGATGCTGGGTTCCAAGGAAAACAGAGAGGGGTGACAACAACGGGTGCTTCTCTCTCTCTCTCTCTCTCTCTCTCACACACACACACACACACNGGCGGAGCCTGCGGAACGATCCGGACGAGACCGAAACCATGTGTACCGCCAGCGCTAACGCTGGTGGTACAATAAATAAACAACCCCAAACAGCCCACCTGTTCAGCATAATCTTGGCTAACAACATGTACTTCAGGGCAGTCACAGCTTTGGGACTGTCAATGGAATCGTATCCTTCAAATGCTTCATAGAAGTAGGAAAATGCAGTTTTAAAGTCCCTCTCATCAGCTGCATGCAGCACTCCTGAAATGAACAAAAACATTTTCTTCAGAAATTACAATATCTCTTTATTGACAACTTGTTTTATACTAATGATGCACTGATCAACAATTATCAATTCATAAATCATTTAAATCTTATTCTCAATAAATAACACTTTGATCTCAATTTCCAATCACATCCACTGTTAGCCACAATCATGATAAGCATTATTATCATGCATCACTTGTTATTACCTCTGCCAAAGAGGTCATGTTTTCACCCCTGTTTGTTTGTTTGTTTGTTTGTTTGTCTGTCTGTCTGTCATCAACATAACTCAAAAATTTATGGACCGATTTTGATTAAATTTTCAGGAACTGTCAGAAGTGGTGACCTGGATCAATAATCAAAAATATCGAAAATTTAGGGGTGAAAAGGCATTGGGTGGAGACTTTGCTGCCTTGGGGGAGGTCTGTGCTCTCAGAGTGCTTTTCTAGTGTTTTTATGTCGTCATGTCGCTAAATATTTGTATCACTCACCAGACTGTAGATCTAGTGCTGCCTGTAGTTTAGGAGGGCAGTAGATCCCATTCCCTGTGGTTCTACCAGACGTTAGTGCCGCCCTGGGAACGAGGAAATGGAGAAAAACTATTAATATAAAGAAAATGTGGGGCAGCACCTGTCTTGAGCCAATCCAACAAAATTAAATACTCAGTTTTTCTTTGAAAAATATCACTGGTTGTAAGAAATGAAGTTAAGCCATCATATGCTGTCTACTGTTTATTTACAATGCTGTTGTGGCTGTTGTTGTTAAAAGATGCCTCTTGTCTTTCTGTTGTTTCATATTTTTGTATTATATAAACTGAAAAGACAACAATCAGACCAAAAATCTTAAGCTCAGTTAAATTACATATCTCTCTTAACAAACAAACTTTGTATTCTCGTCAAACAAACAACAAGACAGTCGAACAAAAAACTTGAGCCAATACAAGAAACATGTTCTTGGTGATAGCAAAGTGACACTAATTACCTTGCTTTGGGGAGATTACTAAGGGCATGGTAGACCTTGCTCTCCAACAGCTGGACCTCCACCAACAGGGCCTTGTCGTCCATCTTCTTAAGCTCTTTGATTAAGGAACCCTCTGAAATCAAATACTGGTATGTCAGATGCTGGGTTCCAAGGAAAACAGAGAGGGGTGACAACAACCGGTGCTTCTCTCTCTCTCTCTCTCACACACACACACACACACACACACACACACACACACACACACACACACACACACACACACACACACACACACACACACACACACACACACACA